AGTCATGGGCAATTATACGTGGCGCTTTCTAGAGTAACGAGTCGGAGGGGCTTGAAGATTCTAATTTGTGTTGATGGAGATTCTGGCGATAATAAAACCACGAACGTTGTATATAAGGAAGTGTTTAATAATATTTAGATTTTTTTCTCGGACTTTTATCAAGTGATTATGTTATTATGTTTCCTATTGTTTACAATTTATTGTATTTATTTCCTCTATCACATAACTTTCCGTGAAAATGAAAATTAATTGACTAGCTCTCCGTGCAAATGCACGGGTTACAACTAATAATAATAATAATAATAATAATAATAATAATAATAATAATAATAATAATAATAATAATAATAAATAGATAAATAAAATAGAATTGTTAGCATTTCATTAATAAAACAAACACATACACACGAAATTCCACTCAAATTTACTCAAGGCTAGGCTTGTGGGCTCAAGGCTTTACTCAGATTCCAGACATCGACTTCATTGATGTTTTCAGTCCTGTAATTAAACCTGTCACCATCAGACTCATCCTCTCTATAGCTTTGTCTAAAGGCTGGCAACTTAGGCAAATTGACATTGATAATGCCTTTCTCCATGGAACTCTAGAACCTGAGACATCCATATTCATGAAACAACCTCCTGACTTTGAGGTTCCTGGAAAAGAATCTCATGTCTACCAACTCAACAAGGCCCTTTATGGTCTCAAACAAGCCAAGACCTAAGCCTTGATCACCATCCTCGGCTCATACTCGATAGAATACTCACTGAGCTCGACCACCCATTTGACCAATCGACCTGAGACTGAAGGTCGACCAAGCGTCTGTCCTAAAGGCATGTTCGTCCGCATCTTTACTTTGTGATTCAAGAAATAGGGCCTTAACTTTCTGACCGTTACGACCACCGCTAACGCACACTTCTCAATCTCCGAATACCTCAATTTTGTTCCTTGCATTACTCGACTGACATAGTATATCGGAAACTGTTCGACTCCTTCACGCAATAATACCGAGCTTACTGCATTATCGCCAATGGATATATAAAGTATCAATTCCTCCCCTTGCACGGGTTTCGCCAACAGTGGCAAACTGCAACTCCTTGAAAGCTTTCTGAGCTTCGACCGTCCATTGGAATCTCGACTTTTCTTCAACGTTCAGAATAATGGACCTTTTTTTTCGTCACTTTGGAAATGAATCTGCTCAGACCAGCTATACGACCCGCCAATATATGCACCTCTTTCACATTCACGGGTGGTTTCATCTCGACCACTGCTCGGAACCTTCTCTGGATTCACTTCGATTCCTCATCTCATCACCATATAGCCAAAAACTTTCCCACTTTCACACCAAAGGAACATTTAGCAGGGTTAAGCTTCATGTCATATCTCCTTAATGTTTGGAACGTCTCCCTTAAGTCCCCTACATGGTCGATCTCCACTTTCCCTCTGGATTCATTTAAAAAAAATGTGATATGAACTGACCCTTTTAAGTGTTCAAAATACTCCCAAGTTAACAAGGTCTTATGGCTTCATATAGAACCAAAATTCTCTCAAGTTATTACCAAGTTCAAATAACCAGCAGCATGTTTGTATTTAATTTTATGTTTAAATTTGGTAAAACAGCAACAGGATGTTTGTTTG